ATTTTTTTATTATGATTCCCGTTAGGCTTGAATCGCAATTAATTGGGAAAAAAAATTTGTAGAATACTGTGTCAATTAGATGTCTTTGAGAGTGAAATTAATTACAAACTATTAAATTTTAAAGAGTTGGAGGGGTAAGCCAGTGGAAGGCCTCGGTCAGATGACCATAAGCTCCAGATGCGGGTCATCATATGACTAAGACCCGCGTCAGGACCAACCTTACCTAACCCAATCAATTCCAGAGATTGGAAGGCAGCAGGTGGGAACTTCTCAGAATTTGGACCGAGGCAGTGTGTGTGTGTGTGTGTGTGTGTGTACTCACCTAGTTGTGGTTTCAGGGGTCGAGTCACAGCTCCTGGCACCGCCTCCTCACTGGTCGTTACTAGGTCACTCTTCCTGCTCCATGTGTGTGGGTGTGTGGGTGTGTGGGTGTGTGGGTGAGTGAGTGTGTGGGTGTGTGGGTGTATGTATGTGTACTCACAAAATTGTAGTTGCAGGGATCGAGACTCAGTTCCTGGCCCCGCCTCTTTACTGAACGCTACTAGGTCCTCTCTCTCCCTGCTCCATGAGCTTTATCATACCTCGTCTTAAAGCTATGTATGGTTCCTGCCTCCACTACATCGCTCGCCAGACTGTTCCACTTCCTGATAACTCTATGACCGAAGAACTACTTCCTAAAGTCCCTCTGACTCATCTGAGTCTTCAATTTCCAAGAGTGACCCCTTGTTTCTATGTCCCCTATGTCGTTATCATGTCTCCCCTATCCCTCCTATCCTCCAGTGTCGTCAGGCCGATTTCCCTCAACCTTTCTTCATAGGACACTCCCCTTAGCTCTGGAACTAACCTTGTCGCAAACCTTTGCACTTTCTCTAATTTCTTAACGTGATTGATCTGGTGCGGGTTCCAAACTGGTGCTGCATACTCCAGTATGGGCCTGACGTACACGGTGTACAGTGTCTTGAAAGATTCCTTACTTAGGTATCGGAATGCTAATCTCAGGTTTGTCAGGCGCCCATATGCTGCAGAAGTTATCTGGTTGATGTGTGCTTCCGGAGACGTGTTCGGTGTTATACTCAAGCCAAAATCTTTCTCCCTGATCGAGGTTTGCAGTCGTTGGCCACCTAGTCTATACTCTGTTTGCGGTCTTCTTTGCGTTTCTCCGATCTTCATGACTTTGCATTTGGCAGGGTTGAATTCGAGAAGCCAGTTGCTGGACCACGGGGCCAGCCTGTTTCCCGGGCTTTTTTGAAGGCCTACCCTGGTCCATCTGGGTTTAATTCTCCTTTAACTTACATCATCTGCGAACAGGGACAACCTCTGAGTCTATCCCCTTCCATCATGTCTTTCGAAAATACCGAAAAGCACGATTAGGCCCCGCCCCCTGTGGGACCCCGCTCGTCACGGTGCCACTGGACCCCTCATCAGTCCGACTCGTTTTTGCCTCCCTGTCAGGTATTCTCTGATCCATTGAAGTGCCCTTTCCGTTTTTTTAACGCGGCTGATCCTCTAGTTTCTGACTAATTCTTGTGGGAACTGTGTCAAAGGTTCTCTTGCAGTACAAAAAGAGGGCAACACCCACCCCTCCTCTTTTGGGTCTTTTACTTCTTTTATTTTAATCAAAAAACCCCCAAAGGGGGGTTTGTGACACAGGTTTTGCCTTCCATAAAAACCGGCGGGTTTTGTCATTTATACTTTTTTCCGTTCCGGGTGCTCCCCACTCTCCTCCTGATAATCTTTCCATGACTTTGCAAAACAAAACACGCCCGAGACACTGGTCTGTAGTTCGGGCGCCTCTTTTCTGCCCTTTTTTTTTAAAAAAGGGGAAACTACTTTTTCCCGTCTTCCACACCTCAGGTAGTTCCCCAGTTTAAAGGGGAGTGTTGAAAAATTGGATTAATGGGACACACACATTTTGCCCCCTCTCTAAGGACCCACGGGGAGATTTTGTCCGGTCCTTGGTTTTGGGGAAATAAAGGTCATTTAAAGCAGTTTTCTTCCCCTCCTCCTCATTTTGTTGTATGTCATCCACCCACTTGTTGGGTATTCTCTGTTGGTGCCCCCTTTTCTGTACTGTTTTCCCTAGAGCCCTTTTCGTTCCCCTGTGAATATTTTCCAAAAATTTTCTTTTTGAGGCCTCCCCCCCCCTTTTTGATCGTATCGGGGAAAGTTCCCCATTTTCTTTCTCACCTGTTCACCTGGTTT